AAAGACTCAGCACTCCGCTCCTACCCGAGACTGATTGGATATCCCTCCTTTTGCCTCCAGTGCATCTGTGGTCAATTGTATTTTCCAGAAATGGCTACAAAAACAACTCACATCCAGCATGCTCTTATTACAGTGTGACTTTGACACTCTTCCCACTGAAAAGTGAGGTCTAGTTCTTTCCCCTTGGATTTGAGGTGAGGTTATAAAAGGTGCTTGAGGCTCCTCCTGGTTCTCTTGGGACACTTGCTCTTGGAACCCAGCTACCATGCTATGAGGAAGCCCGAGCTGCCCTGAGAATGGGGTCTTCATGGAGAAGAATCCGTAGACAGCACCAACTTGCCAGCCATTTGAGAGTGAGCCATTTTGAAAGTGAATTCTCCAGCTTCTAGTAATCCACCCAGTTGACGCCTTTTGGAATGGAAGTGAGCTGTCCTCCCTGAACCCTGCCCAAGTTACAGGCTCATTAGCAAAATAAATGATGGTGGTTGTTTGAAGCCACTTAAGTCTTGAGCTGGTTTTGTTAAGCAGCAGTAGGTGACTAGAACAGCAGCCTATGTTTGTCATGCAGGGAGGTGATGCCACTCAGTGGTTAAGTGGGTGGCCTATGACTGTCTTGTTTCAAAGCCCACCTTTGCCGCTTAGTATGACCTTTGGCAAGTTACTTAACCTCTTTGTGCTTCAGTCTCCTTCTTTCTTCAGTGTAAGTAAAAACAGTATTTAAGTTTGTTATGATGATTAAGTGATTAATGCAGGTAAATGCAGATCTACAGGTAATACAGATCAGTCTTTGTGATTATCTCAGGCAAGTTTCTGATCATTCAGCCATCACTGTCTCTTGTAATTCTGTTTCTTTGTCTTTATAGTACTTTTGGTATTTGTGTGTGTGTGTGTATATATATATAATGTGTTCATATATGTATATGTGTATATACACATACATAATATATAGCTTTTAGCACTATCTGAAATGATCTTGTCTACATGTTTTTTTTAATCCCACCAGAGTATAAGTCCCAGTAACACAGGAACCTTGCCTGTCTCATTCCAGAACCTGGAACGGTACCTGGCACAAAGTGCTTATTAATAACTTTTTTGGTTAATGAATGGATGAATAGCACTTTCATACTTCTTGTGGAAGACATCACTAGTTCCTACCCAGTATCCCTTCTCATTCCACAGTAGTGGTCCCTGCTTTTGTTGTGGATGTCAATACAAAATACTGTCCCAGACTCCCTTGCAGCTAAGGGTCATTGTGTAATACATGTCCTATCAATGAGACATAGTCAAAGTTCTGCTAAGGATGTCTGGGAAAATTTTTTGCTTTGATTTAGGCACTGCCCTTTCATCCTTCCCCTCTTCCTCCTTCCTGCCCACAATACGGACAGGAAGTAGAACAACCAAAAAGGAGATAATCATGAAGACAAAAACAGGAGCAACCTGTGATGTTGATGAACTATCTAGTGGAGTCACTACACCACAGACTCTCTCATTATGTGAGAAAATTTAACCCTTTATAGTTAAGCCCCAGCTCAGCCTTCTGTTACTTGCAGCCAAAGACATTCTCACCTGATACACTGTGGTAGAGTAATATCTACTCCTATAGGCTGTTCATTAAGGGCAAGGAAATATTTCCTCCTCCTTACTGTTCTCTAGGAGGACTGGAAGAATTTATCAGCACAAATGTCACTCACTGTCCAGATCTCTTCTGCTCTCTTCAAATAGTGAGAGTGGGCAAGTAGCAAGGGACACCACAGTATCTGAATATATTTGACTCCTGAGTTCACATATTTCAAGTAGTGGGGGTTACATTTACCATTCATTCCTGAAACAAACATGTATTTATTGCCACTCTATGCCAGACATTATATGGCTGTTGGGGATACAGAGATGATTAAGTCAGATGATTGAAACTGGATGCCCAAGTTCCCACTAAACATTAAGCTCCCAAAGGGTGGGAGCTGGGCTGCTCCCAGTAAGAAAGGGACTTAATTCTAGCAGTGTCTCATCCATATTGTTCCTCGTCTCAACCTTCTTGACCCCGATCCCATTTTAATGGCCTCAGTTCACTTATTCATTCACCAGCTTTTGTGTGTGTGAGTGTTTCCCTGGGAAATAGATATGGACTGCATATCTATTTGTATTTTGAATGCTTAATCTTTGACTTCCAAGATCATTCAGGTTTCAGATTGTCTGCTTTCTCTACAGCTAAGCCTACATGCACTCTTGCTGCTCCATCATAAAGTGGCTGTTCTCCCATTATCAACACATCAACTCAGCTGTGGGGACTGGGTACATTAACCTTATCCTGATGTCATGACTCGGTGTTATGGTCCCAAGTCCAAATGATAGATCCCCTCACTCAGCTCCAGGGTATGTCCAGATCAGAATTTGGGGCAGTAAAATGTTTCAGACTAGTTGTAAACTTAGCCCCAAGGCTTCAAGTTTTAGGAATTGCCACCATGGGAACACAGGTGTATCAGGTTGAAGTAGACCATTGAGGCAAGTGCCAGGAATCCAGGAACCACATTGTATTGTCACCTTTGATATTTTACTTTTGAGCGTCTTTATTGTTGTGCTTGTGTGTGTACTATTTCAGGGGCAGGGGGTTGGGCCATTTTGAGACTGATGGAAATTACAGCACCCTTCTCCAAGATAATACACATCTGCACACGCACACACACACACACACACACACACAATATTTAGAAATCATTTCTGGAGGCCCAGGTTAAGAACCCAATTGTGATTTGCCATGAAGGTGGAAACTTTTTCTGTACCCTAATTTGGTCCTTTACCATGTACTATTTTCATTTACCTTTTCATGTGTGTATGTTTTAGCCCATTGAGTGAGCAAGCTTCCTGCAAAGAACATACACCTTTTTATGACCCCCCAATGATACTTGCATATAGTGACTGAGCCTTGTGGGAAATATTTGCAAATTGAGTTCTTTGAAGCTGCTATGATTTACTGAGGACAGGCAACGTTCCTTTCAATATACCACCCACCACCCGACCTCCCTACAAAATGGAAGAGATCACTACCAAAGGACCTACAGTCATGTTCTATTTACTTCCTAGGTTTTAGGACTGGGCATTATTTACATACTCCTCATGCAAATATCCAGTCTTGGATATTTAGAGAACCAAGGTAGTGCCTAGTAGAAAGCTTTATACAAACAAAACAAAACAAAACCCTCTAAGAATAAATGAACATACTCTATTATCTTAAAAATCTGTGATCTTTATTCCTTCCATAGTTCTGTGCCTCACCCTGTACATACCCACACCTGTAATCAGACCCCTTACTTGTCCTATCCCATGAGTTTTATTTCTCAAACTACACTCCTTTCCTGGCATGTGCTTATGGAAAAAATTAAAAATAGGAATAAACCTAATGCTAATGGAATAGTGCCCATGTTGTTTTCCCTTTTTTCTGATCCTTCCCTCTCACCTGTACGTTTCCACAGGCTACCTTTAATCCTAACCTGTTTAGAACTTGGAAGTGTTTTCCCTCATCCGGGCCCCTTTCCCTTCACTCTGTAGGAGACTACAGCCACCTGGTGGCCATGTAGAGAAAAGACAGGTCGATTGCCTCAAAAATCTGGTGAGAGGAAGAACCTCTATGGAGTAATTTTTGGTCTTGGATCTATGGCGAACAAGGAAAGAGAAACCTGTGGATAGAGATGACAGCATAGGATCCAGACATCCTATTTCTTGGTCCCACCTTGCCCCCCACCAAGGACACAACATCCCATCCACTAGTTATTAGAGGCAGAGGAATTCGCTTAATATTTGAGTTCATTCAGTCAAAATTTATTGAGCAGCAACTGTGTGCCCAACACTGGCAATACAGCAGTGAACAAGATGGACACGATCTCTGCCCTCATGAGCTTACAATCGAGCAGCCAGCCAGCCAATTACATCCATAATTTTAACATTACTATTGTAATAAGCACTCTGAAATTTAACAGAAAGTCCTGACCTGCATCGAGAAATCAGAAAAGTCTCTGTGAGGAAGAAACACGTAGGATTAGCAAGGTGGGAGATGGAAGAGTGTTGCAAGCAGAGAGAACAGCCTGTGTGCCGGCTCTGAGGCAAGAAAACCTTTAGTGAACAGAAAGCCAGTGAACAAAGAGGGGTGATGCAAGGTAGAGGCTGATATATGCAAGGTCTTTGGATTTAGCGCTTGATTCCAAAAGCAACAAGAAGCCACTGAAGAATCTGAAGGAGGAAAGTTAGATGTTTAGGTTTGTTTTTCAGAGCTCACTCTGCTGTGTGTGGAGGACAGAAGAGAAAATGGGAGGACTGGTTAGGAAGTTATCGCAGCAGTCCAGACCAGAGGTGATGATAACAGCTTCGAGAAAAGAAGATGGATTCCAGACATGTTTAGGAGATAGAATCTACTTGGAGAGTGACTGGGTGTGTGAGGAAAGGGATGTGTTTCTGGCGAGAGGTACTAAAGTAGGAAACCCTGGAAGAGGGACGAGTTTGGGCAGATCCCATAGGCACAGGCCCTGAGGCTGGGGTTACAGCAACAGCATAGCTTTGGTTCTCAAATAGTTTAGGGTTTAACTGAGCAAACAAGATACACATGAAACAACGGCAGGTGGATACAGCTGTCTCCACCTCTGTCCATGCCGTTCATAGTCAGCCCCTCAGCGCACTCCTCTGCCGCCTACCCAGTGTCTCCTGGGGGCCGCCTTCCACGAAGATGCACTCACATCTCTCTGCTGCTTTTTCTGCCTGCTACTGTCAAGAAATTCACCTGTGATTCTCATTCCCCTTCCCTCCTTAGGTCATAGGGGACCAAATCTGGCCACTGCCCTCCATGGTTGTTCTCTTTTGAACACCAGGAGTTTTCTGACTTAATTAGCTCCTCTCTTTTTTTTTTTTTTTTTTTTTGCGGTACGCCGGCCTCTCACCGCTGTGGCCTCTCCCGTTGCGGAGCACAGGCTCCGGACGCACAGGCCCAGCGGCCATGGCCCACGGGCCCAGCCGCTCCGCGGCACGTGGGATCCTCCCGGACCGGGGCACGAACCCGCGTCCCCTGCATCGGCAGGTGGACTCCCAACCACTGCGCCACCAGGGAAGCCCCAATTAGCTCCTCTCTTTACATCACCTCTGTCAAGCCCCTTCTTGCAGAGTCACCATCTGGCAAAGTCGACCCTGTCTTCCTCATCTTTCCCTCAGAGGCACAGGCCCATCATGAATATACATGCCTACTTTTTGCTCCCCCTTCTAAAGTGTCCCAATCCAAAAGCCCTTTCCCACTCTAATTTTCCTGGAACCAGTATATACCCACCTCTTTGCCTCAGAAAAGTCAGAGGAAAGTTTTGCTATGGGATTAACCATGAAGTAGCCTCAACAGCTATTACTCAGCTTACACTTGGCCTTCCCTGTGTCCTCTCTACCACTGCAGAACTGTGCTAAGCCCCTTCCAAAGGCAATAACTAAAAAAACAAAACAAAAAAGCACAACACCACGGCTGACTACACAATAGGCCTACAGGTTCCCATTGTGCAGTGAGCCTGGACATTGAGAAGAACATAGACTTTGGAATTGGGAAGACCTGGGTTTGCAATCTGGTTACTAAGTAGTGTGCCTTTTGCGCTATTAAATCTTACTAAGCTTCAGAAGATTTATCTGTAAGTAGTGGTAATGGTATCTGTCTTACGGATAGTTGTATTAAATGAGGTGTATAAAGCACATAACATAATATCTAGCCTGAATTACCTGGTGGCTGCCAAATACTATTCAGAAGAGAGATTAGCCAGTTTTATATGGCGAGTGATAGACACTTCCTATTCCTGTCTTTGTAAATCCCATCTTCCTACAGCCATCCCATTTCCATCACTGCCAGAAAAGTTCTTCCATCCCTCATCCCTGTGTAGGACTTCTCTTTCTCTTACTATCGAAAAGTTCTGCCTGAGCTCTCTCTGACTATCCTCTTCTACATCTCCCTGATCTAAGATACTTTATTTTCTGGTATCAGTCCTAAAAATTAATTCACTTCTAGCGTTCTGCCTAACTTTCTCAGAGTAAATTTTAACTAACCCGAGGAATAGGACCTTTACACTTCAGTAGGGAATGGGAACCTCAGGCCAGCTCCCAGAGTAGAATGGAGGTCTAGGTCCAGATACCGCCCTCCCTGCCCCATCCCCATCTCTCTTCCTACAGGTCACAGAAACAGCTAAACTCAAAATATGTCTTGAGCCTACATGAGCATACATCTCTCTTTCTATAGCTCTGTGAGGTCATCACTGAAGTACAGCAGTACTGCAGGTGTGTAGAGCGTACTGTCCATATTGAGATAATCAAATTCTTCCTCCTCATCCCGGATACCATTCTCTTCCAGGGTATAATCCATGTTCAGGTTCTTCCCTTCATATTTCCATGTGTAGCTGGCAGCATGTGCGTTATAGAGGAGGTAGCGGTGTAGGATTTCCCACATTGATTCCAGGGCCCCCACCTGGAGAACACGAAAGCACCCCACCCAGAATTGTGGGTTGAACGAGCGAACACACACACACACAAGCAAAGGCCAGGAACCCAAAGCTGGGATCAGAGTGCCTCCCTTGGCAGAGAGCAGCTTAAGGCGCTCCACAGTCCCAGAAATAAAGTTGGAGCTCCAGCATGCAACGAATGGCCCCCAAATCCTACCTGCCTTTATGGCAGCCACTTGTAATAAACAAATGGCCCTAAAGTCACTGCCCCCACACCTCATCCCCACAATAGAGTAGACTAATAAGAGAGCCCAGTTGCAATTGCTGTACAAAAACACAGCATGTAAGAGCTTCCGAGGACAACCATCACTAAGGTGCACAAACTGTCACCCTGGGCTTCAGAAAAAGTCTCTTGTACCCTGTGGCCCAGCCACACCTTTAATTCCTAACCCTGGGGATGTAGGTGGTCTTCTTTCCTCAGTTACCCCTAAAAGGAAAGAAAATACAGCTCCCACCGGTTGTGGAGAGCTGCTGGCCTGCAGATCTGCTTGGAGATTTGCTGGGATTCTCGGTTCCCTCTAACCTGCCCCCGGGCACCAGTTCTCACCTCCAGAGTGTGCTCTTGCGACGTGAGCGTGTTAATGATGCGGATATTCCGGGTCTTGGCGGACAGCCGCCCCACCTCGTAACGCGACCCCTGCCACCAAGGCTTCCCGAAATCATTGGCCCAGTCCGAACGGGGCAGCTGAGGCGGCACGTGCAGAAAGCGGCCCCACGGGGTGCGGTATCTCAGGGAACCGGTCAGCGGATCTATGTGCTTGCGGATCTTTTAAGCAGGGTTTGAGGGAGGAAGGTCGGAGCAGTCACTATCTCGGGCTCTGTTTAGCCTCTGCTTTTCCTCTTCATCCCGCTCTCCAGTGCCCTCCCCCCAACCCCAGGTTCCAGCAGAACTCACGTCTCCGGTGTCTGGATCAAACCAGTGACTGATGTCCTGGCCCGCAACTTCCACGATGGGTTTCAGCAGCAGGTCTCCTGGGAAGGAGAAGCTGCCGTCAATGCTACCCATCCAAGAACCAAGCACCCCCCCCAAACACACCCTCGACGCTGGCCCAAAGTGTGGCGTTTACCCTTGTATTCCTGTGCCAATGGTGTTAGGTCGTACACGTTTCCCAGGTAAGATACCCAGAGGTCTTCGGGCTGGTTATGTTGGGCCACCTCGGCCGGCGTGAAATAGCGACGCTGAAAATACTCAAAGTCTGGCCCGGCCACTAGGCCCCGGCGTGGCATGGCTCTTGCTCTTTCGGTCACCGACTCCTTTAGTTGCTTCCTTGCTTTTCAGCACGCACTCTCTGCTGCATCCTCCCTCTGGTCCGGGAGCTAAGGCGAGCGCGTTTATCCGCTGACATGGAAACCATTGTCCCTTTCCGGCCACCGGCCACTGAGATCAAACGCTGTATATGGGCGAGAGGAGCGTGGGCTGCGCGTGCTCACGGGAAACGTAGTCCGATTCAGGCATTCAAGTAATTTGAGTTTTGTCCTCAGGAGTTCCGCGGGAAAGAGAACACACTCCGTTTTCATTCACAGTGGCCTAGGCTACAGGGAGTATTCAGGACATACTGTCTCGCGAGGCAGAAAAACAAGGGACGGGAGGCGTGTGATTATGAAAAAAGGTATTCTCGCTAAATTCCAGGGTTCCTTAAAGGATGTGTAAGAAACTAGAGTTGAAAATTTCTCGCGATATCTTGGTACATCCAACGTAATAGGCCTCAGTGAGCCTCAGCGCCGAAATAGAAGCTCGCGATACTTCTGCAGTTGCCGGAGACGAAGAGGAGGAGGAGGAGGAGAGGTGATCTCGCGAAAGAAAACAGGTCGGGAGCGCTCGCGAGATCTCAGACCACCGGACACCAAAGGTTCTTAGGAAGTTGAAGGGCCTGGAGGAGGCCCGGGAACAAATGGCCGCAGCTGGACCAGCCATGCTGTTGCGAGAGGAGAATGGCTGTTGCAGCCGGCGTCAAAGCAGCTCCAGCGCAGGGGTTAGCTCGGGTTCTGGGATTGAGGGGCCGTCGGGGAGCAAGATGGGGGGACGGAGGGGGAACTGCAGCTCCCGGCAGCCTCAGGGCTTCGTGTGAGCGCCCCGCGGGCTGTCGGGAGCTGTGGTTCCGCGGGCGGGCAGCAGCCGAGGCGGCGCGGTCTGAGCGCCTGTCCCGCCCCGCTCAGGACTCAGATGGGGAGCGCGAGGACTCACCGGCTACGCGCGCTAGGCAGCAGCTGGAGGCGCTGCTCAACAAGACTATGCGCATTCGCATGACAGATGGACGGACACTGGTCGGTTGTTTCCTCTGCACCGACCGCGACTGCAATGTTATCCTGGGCTCGGCGCAGGAGTTCCTCAAGCCGTCGGGTCAGTGCCCGGGGAATGCACACCCGCCTGGGAATGCGGCGGAGCCTCACGCAAAGCATTTCCCCTTAAGTGCCTGGCTGCACCCCTTAGTTTCTGGGACTATAAGTCGTGGCACAGAAGGGGCGGGGCCGACGCTGGCCTGCCTCTCTGATGCTCTGACTCTTCTTTCCAGATTCCTTCTCTGCCGGGGAACCCCGTGTGCTGGGCCTGGCCATGGTACCTGGACACCACATCGTTTCTATTGAGGTGCAGAGAGAGAGCCTGGCGGGGACTCCCTATCTCTGAACACGATCGCGCATGCCTTTCGGACTTCATTAAATCTGTAACCGACGTGGCTTGTGTCTGTGTGTAGCTGGGTTTCTGGGACAGGAATTACACACCTCATCCCTAGAGGAATAGGTTTCTCTGAGGTCGGGAGCACTCTCAACCCTCCTTCCACAACCTGGACGTCCAGGACTGCCAAAGGTTCCCTCAGGTTCGGGGTGGGGATGGGGGGACAGGCTGAACTTCGGATCCACGGGCCCCAGGTTGGGCCCCTCCATCTTCCCTCCCACGCAGCTGCTCCAGAATTGTGGCGGGAGGGGGTGTCATCCTGTTCCGGAAGGCCCATTGTTTCTCTCTCCGGCCTGGCAACACCGAGTTCCTCTAAGCTGGGGTCAGAGAACAGGCTCAGGTCCCCAAGGGGAGCAGGGCAGGCTACAGAGGCCGGGCTCCCTCCACTCTATTGATAAGGAGGTGACAGGGACAGAGCTCTGGGGTCTGGCCAGGAAGAACGGCCTAATGCGATAAGGGAAGGAAGGCCTCCCAGGAGGCTGAAGGATGCTCCGGTCTGCGCAGTAGAGCCACGCCCCCCCCCCACCCGCATGTTGTTTCCTGCTCCTGGGCACGTTGCAGGAGTGATTGATAGTATTTGTGCCGCCCTTCTGTTCACAGGATCCCAGGATCGCGTTCAGTTCATTAATTCTTTATTGATGTGTGATGACTCCTTCCCCTCCAGCATCGCCCACTCCACCCCACCCCACCCCACCCCACAGCCCGTAAATACTAGGAGCAGCACCGGAAAAGGAGGGCACCAGCGCACCACCGAGGTTCAGTTGTCCTATTCACAGGGGGGGTGGGGGATGCAGGGTCCAGCCCAGATGTTCAGGATTCAGATATGGGTAGAGAGGGGAAAGTGGGTTTTCCGGGGTGTGGCGAATTTTCACCAGAATTGGGTCCACAGATGCTGCCGTTCTGTTTCTCAAGAGGATGCTGGGACCCGGCTTAGGCAGGAGCGGGGACAGGGTAGGTCGGGAGACCCCCGGGCCTCAAGTCCTTGGGCCGACCGGGAGAGAGGGCACTCCTCGGGGTTGTTCTTGACTCGAGGGTCCTCAGACCCAGACCTTTCCTGATGTTGGAACGGCCTGGGGCTCTGGCGAGGGCCGGTTTTGCCGCGGCTGCGGGGTGCGCCGGCGCCGATAGAGGGCTCGGCTGTAAGGCACGAGGCAATCGGCCAGGCGGAGGCGGAGGCAGAGGCGGCGGTAGCTGGCCAGAGCAAGCACGAGCAGCGGCACGAGGAGCAGGAATCCGGTGACCAGCAGGGCTGTGAAGCCCGGGTCCCGCAGGTGCGCGGTGCAAGGGGGCGCCTGGGAGCGCAAGAACTGTGGGAGGAGAAGAGGCATGAGGCCCAAGCCAAACAGCCCAGGCCGGGAGAGGTTGTGGCCCACAGACCCCACCGCCACCGTCACCAGACACCCACACGCACACCGCGGGGCGCACACTCACCTGGGAGTGGCAGAGGAAGCCAAAGCCTAGCATGGTGACAGCGGGCAGCAGGATGGTCCCCAGCACCAGCGCCAGCAGGAGAAGATTGAAGGCAGCCACCAGCAGATTCTGGGCGGTGACCAGCACAGCGCAGGCCCAGCAGTCCAGGGGGTCCCGGGGCTCTGGGCCGCCGCCGGGAACCGGTCGCTGCGCCCCGGGGACATCCGCCATGGCCCGCCTGGCTCCCTCCCGCCTGGGCCACGGCCCTTATAGCCCTCTTTCCTGCCCCTCCCCCGGCCCAGCCTCTCCCCACCCCACCCCCCCTTATCCTGGAATGCGGCTCCAGGATTAGGCACCCCCCCATAACGAGGAGCGACCGAGCTCTGGACATTCCACAGGCGCCTCCGGGGAGGGGCTCCCCTCCCCATCAATCACGGTCTCACCGCCCTCTTCCCAGTGTTCTCCCTGCTTACCACCAGCACTTATCGAAAAGAGATTTTTTTTTCTGATTTTATTTTTAATATTAATATTCTCACACAAAAATCACCGAAAATAAGGGTAGGGTTGGGAAGACCCCTCTGCCCCTGGGGCAGAAAGACAGTGCAGTGCGAGGGGGCAGGACTGTAAACCCCCCACCCCTCCGCAGCCCCAGCGTGGAGGAGAAAAAAAACAAACGACAAAACGAAAATAAAGCCCCAGAGAAACTCATCCCGGGGTGTCCCTGCCCCAGTGAGGCCGTGGCCCTGGGCTGTTTCACGCTTAGAAAGAAAAGGGGGGTGGGTTGTAAGGGAAAGGTCCGTGTTTTTAAAATTGGCCGGGGCTGGGAAGGACGGGGCTCCTTTTCCTCATAGTTCTTTCTTTAAAACTTTAAAAATTTATTTTATTTATTTATTATTATTATTTTTTTTTACAAAATACCATTTCAGTTCCCACTTCTTCCCCTACAGTACAGGAGTCGCTCACCCTCAGGCGGGGTTGGGGTCGGGTCGGGAGTGGGGGACTGGTCCGAGAAAGTGCAGGACGTAGGGGAGGGGAGCAGGTTTGAGCACCATGAGAACCCGGCTGGAGCCGCGGGCGGGCGGACGGGCGGAGACGGACGGGCCGGGGCCGGACACACACTGGGGCGCAGGGAGGGTCCGGCGGCGGGCGGTCCCTGGAGGGGCGGGCGGGATGGCTTGGGGGTGCGGGAGGTCGGGTTTTCCCAAAAATGAATAAATAGAGGTGAGTGGGACTGTTATAAATTAAAAACCAAAACAAACAAAAAACCCAGAAAATACAAATCATAACCAAGTGAATAAACAAGAGACATGTACAGGGGTCACAGCTAGCACTGGAAGTAAAAAAGGAGGTTCTGGGGGAGGGGTAAAGCCCATACAAAGAATCTCATTAAAAACCTCGGCTGCCGTAACGTCTATGTACATACACGAGCCGCGTGCATCTGCGCCGGGCGGGCGGCTGGCAGGCGTGAGGGAACCCGTATGTGACCCCCGCCGCCGCCGGAGCCTGGTCCTTGTGTCTGTTGCTAGAAAGGCCAAAGTCGGTGAGGGGAGGCGCTGGTGGGCGAGGGGCTACCAGCCCCCTTCCCCGTCTCCCATTTTTTTTCCTTTTTTCCTCATATTTGTTTTTTAAAAAATTCTTTTTCTTAATAAATTAGGTGAGGGGAGCTGCCAATGGGGTGGAAGGGCTGGGCCCGACCCCCTTCCCGGCCAGAGGCGGGACCTAGGTCCAGCCCAGGCGTGTGCTGGTGGCCCCGCGGCGCCCTGCGGGCGGGCAGGCGGGCGGGGCGTCCGGCCTCATCGCGACGTGCTGGCCGGGGCCTGCGGGAGAGAGCAGGCGGAGCTCAGGATGCGCGATCGCCCACCCCCGGCCCGGCCCGCCCCGGCGCCCCCTCGGGTCCCCGCCCCGCCGGGCCCTCACCAGCGTGAAGGCGTCGTAGGCCTGCGCCAGCTCCTCCGTGCGGTACTGCTCCAGCACCACCACGCCCTGCAGGCCTGCGCTGCGGCGCCGCGCACAGGCCTCGCAGTGCACCAGGTACGTGTTGCGGCTGCCGTTCTCACTCGTCACGAACAGGATGTTGAACACCTCCACCTGCGGCGGGGAGGAGGCGGCGGTCAAGGGGAGGGAGGGAGTGGGGGGAGAGGGAGGGAGGCCGGAGGCGAGCGCCTCCCTCCGAGGAAACGCGCGAGGGAGAGAGGGCGCACTCACGTCGCACTCGTTGCAGTAGTAGGCGGGCTCGTCCTTGACCCGGCCCTGGTAGGCGATTTTCTTCCCGGCCCGCACCAGGCTCTCCCGCTGCACCTGGCAGTGCTTCATGGACTGCAGAAGGCAGAACCTAAGGGCGGGGCGAGGTGGTGAGGCGGGGCGGGGCGGGGCGGGGCCTCCCCACTTCGGGCCGGGTCACAGCCCCCGACACATCCCCGTCACAGTGGAGGTTTTATGTGGTTTTTGTCTACTTGGACCACTGGAAAACAAAGCTCCTCAGGGCAGGGGCGGGCAGGGGCCTTGTCACCCGCCCAGCACGGCAGCCCTGCAAGGCACGCGGCAAAAGGTGGAGCGGTGGGGGAGGAGGGGTTGTAACAAGGAAGAACAAGGCGGGCCAGGTCGGATGGAGATGGGCTCCCACCCAAACAGGGCCCTCCCTCACTTGATCATCTTGAACAAGTCGGGGTCGCTGATTTTGACCGTGCGAGCCACGTTCCAGGACACGTGAATCATGGGCACGATGGATTTGACGTTCTTCACCTCGTTCCACTCGTATCGTTCCAGGGCCAGCTGGTACTGATAGGCTGCGGGCCAGAGAGGGTCATGACAGGATTCCCCAACAGCCCGAGACACTTGGGCCCCCGCCCCTTCCCTCACGGCTGGCCTGGCGCCCTCCAAACCCGCCCCCCCCCCCACGGGGCTCACTCCCCAGGGGCCCCAGCCCCTCACCGCTGAGTGGCTCACCCCACCACCGGCCCCGCCCCCTCACCGGTGAGGGGCCCCACGTTCCAGGCGATGTTGTTGCACCAGCCGGTGGCCTGCACCCAGTGCACGGTCCCCGCATTAATCCACACAAGGTCTCCGGGGCGCTGCACGAAGCGGTACACAGGGATGTTGGAAGCATAGAGGTCATCCAGGATTGGCCACCAGGAACCCGTCAGGTAGTCCACGCCATGCCTGGAGGGTGGCCACAGGGTCAGATGGAAATCTGGGAATCCAGGGACGGGGCGTGGGGGGTCTATCTGCCCGAGGAGGGCGGCGCGCACCGGTCGCAGAAAGCGCTGATGGTCTCCCAGTAGTGCTCGTGCACCGCGAACCACTCGCAGTCTCCTGGGCCAATGTTGATGTTGACCGAGCAGAAGTTGTTGTTCTCCTGATGGCCTGAAGGGGGCAACAGAGAACTGCACGGTTGGTCGGAGCCGGGCTTGTCGCGCACTCATTGGTTGACGGAGGAGCGCTGGCGGCAGCCCCGCCCCCCGCGCTCCTCGCGCTCGCGACGCACTCCGCAGCCCCGTGAAGAGCGCACCTGGCGTTCGGCTGCCTGGGACCTTCATGTACAGCTGCACTGTGTTCATGCCCAGGATGGTGTGGCCCACGTGGCTCAGCATGTTGCCCGTGGAGGTTACCCGCATGAAGGCGGGCAGCTTCAGCAGCTCCTGCAGCTGGGGCTTCCACCTGCCGTGGCGAGGGAGGCAACAGAAGTGAGCAGCTACCCCGACTCTGCTGACCCATCAGCACTCCCGCCCCAGCTTGCTGGCCTCAGCCCCACTGACCGCTTGGCATCGGACAGGTCGATGTTGGTGCCAAACTTGATGATGTGATGGTTCTTCGGATCCGGTGCGCTGCTGCGAGGGCAAAGAGCACAGGTTGGTGGGGAAGCGCAGGGAAAGGAAGGAGTCCTGAAGGGCAGAGGCAAAGCGTCCCTACCTAGGAGGGGTTCCCGTGGTGCTGTCCGGCTCCTCGGACTCCTCGTCCTCACTCTCCTTCTCCTCCTGCTTGGTCACAGGGGTAGGCAGGCCTGGGTCAGCGGCCTTCCAGGAGCCCTCCCACCGCAGCTGGGGCTCCAAGTCCCCTGATTCCACACCCCCTACCTCTGCCCGTGCGCGCCTCTCACCTGCAGGGACTCTTGGAAGGATGAGGCCTGGTACTGCGCGTACTTGGCAATGGTGGTGTGGGAACGGGAGCTCTCGCAGGGCCAGATCTGTCGCGTGCCTGTCAGGTCCCAGTTCTCATCTGAGGGCTGCTGCACCTGGGTGCGCACCTCCACCGTGTGCTCACCACTGGCCTCCACCAGCGTCTTGGTGGAGAAGAGGCCCAAGTCTGCAAGGGAGGGCCGAGCAGAGTGTTGGGGCAGGGGCAGAGGGCGGGGAGCAAGGCCCCAACTCACCCTCTCCCTTCTTGCTCCCCAAGACTCTGACGCAGTGGACACAGGCTTCTCAGAGCTCAGCCAAGGAAGAACAGGCGAGAACCCCAGCCCCTCATGAAGCTGGGAGGGTTGGCCCTCCCAGGGCCTGGCCTTTACCTGCATCATAACCAACCCCCTTTCTCCCACTGATGCTCTGAGTCCCAGCCCCTCCCCCAGAGTCCTCAGGTGTCCATGAGGCCACATGTGCAAAGCACCTGGCACACAATAGCTGCTCAATGAATAACAGTTTAAGTTTTCATTGGATCCAATGAAAGATTTCATCAAGTAAAAGCCTAGGCCGTGCTTCAGTAACACTGGAGGAAAGGGAAGATATGTGGGTAAGAGAAGGCTACAAGGAAACAAGATTAATTTTTACAGGAAACAGGATTACGTTTTATAACTCAGTATGGTTTCCTTTTACTTTGGAAGGTGTTTGAAATTGTGCACAATAAAAGGTTGAAAAAGAGAAAGCCCCAAACCATGAGTCTCCTTGGATTTTACACAACCTTAATCACCAAGAAAACCAGAAGTGACTCTAACCAGATCCCGAGATACATCCCCTTCCCACCTGCCTACTGCTGGGGACAGACAGATGGGGGGAGGAAAGCCTGAGGTCAGCTGACCCATCACTCAGAGCACTCTTCAAATATGGCTTACACGTGACTGAGGAGAGCTCACTACAGCTGTGGCCCTGGGTCTTCCAGAGCGGGGGCTCTCTGAGGGCCCCAAAGCCCCAGATCCTCGCAGCCCTCCCCACGTCTTTCCACCTCCATACTCACTGAGCCGCAGGGAGCCTGCCAGGCCCCGGATCACGGTGATGGGATTTCGAGGGTCTGTACAGAACTGCAGCAGCACCGGCGAGAAGGCGTCCCGTTTACTCTCCAGCTGCGGGACAACCAGGAGACAGGGCTGAGGTCAGAGCCCCGTCCCAGGCTCAGGGCCCCCCAACAGTCCCAACACTGTCCTAGAACCCTCAGGCAGGGGCGGTTCTGAACACGCAGGGCACTCATACATAGATGCTGGGTGTGGGCGGGTTCAGTTTTTCCCGGGGCAGCTTCTCCTCCGAGTTGATCTTCGGTTTCACAGACTGTGCAGGGGAAAGGTAGGACTCCCGAAACTTCCCTTTCACCTTGGCATTCCTGTAGAAGGACAGTGAGATGAGAACAGGAATATCAGTGTGCTGGGGGAAGGGAGCCTCCCGCAGGGCCAGGCCAGCAGCCTCAGCGGTGACAGCCCCCCGCCACTCACTTGCTGGCCCTCACGACGTCGGCAGCACAGTGGCTGATGGTGAGGTCTGCCATCCGCAGCCTCCGCTCTTCCACCTCCGAGGCGATGAAGGTCTCCTTGTCACCACTTTCTACTTTGATGAGCCGGATCTTCAGCTCCTTGGGGGGCCCTTCACTAAGTGAGCGCAGCTTCAGCATGTCAGCCCGGCTGACACCCAGTGGCCCCGGAGCTTCCTCCCGAGCCTTCTTCCCAGGGACAGGGGCTGCCGGGGGTGTGGGCTGGACAGAGGGTGCAGGAACTGGCGGAGGGCCCGGAGCTACGGGCGGCTTGGCCTTGGAGGCCCCGCCCAGATCCGGCCGGGCCTTCTCACGACCCTGGATCTCCTCGCTCTGCAGGTCCAGGTTCCCCAGCACTCGGCGGCTCTTTTCTTTGGGGGCCTTGGCCTTGGCCTTGGCCTTGGCCCTGCCCTCCCGGGGCCGCCGACCCACACTGTCCTTACAGGCCCGCCGGTGCCGCCGGTGCTCCTTCTGCCGCCTCTTGCTGCTCCCTGGTCGTGCCGCGGCCGCCACCCCACCGCTCTCCTCCTTGGCCTGAGCTGGGGGCTGCAGTCGCTCAGTCCCGCTGTCCGCTCGATCTGCCGTGTCCACTGGGTCGGCCGGGTCTGCGGTGCTCCGGCCCACCCGCTCCACAAGGGTCTCACAGGCCCGACTTATCTCTTCTAGCACCTCAGACTCAGAGCGAGCAGGGGGCAGCGGCAGGGGTGGGGGCGGGGGTGCGGGGGTCATGGGGCCCGGGGCTGGCTCTTCGCCCGCCCTGCGCTCCCGGGCCCAGGGCCCGCCTGAGGTAGAGAACTGAGATGACGAGGAAGCGGAGGGCTGTGGGGAGCCCTGGGCGCTCGGGGCCGCGGAGGTGGGCGGTGGGGCGGTAGCACCTGAAGAGGAACCGGGGGAATACTGAGTGGTGGGCAAGGGCCCAGGCCGGGTGGGAACAGCTGCTCCAGTCCCCCGGTAACAGTACTTTTGTCCTTCCAGCACGGAGGCCAAGGACTTGAGCAGGTTGGCCGGGCTGGCTGGTGGGGCTCGCGCAGTTGGCGGTGGCTGGGGTGGTGACGGGAACTTGGCTAGAGGCGGCGGTGGTGGCAGGGCTGGTGGTGGCTTCTTCTCCTCTTCCTGGGTGGCCGGGGTGGTGGCGGCAGCGGCCGTGGCAGCAGTGGTGGCTGGGGCTGTGTCAGTGGGGAATGGAGGCTGCAGAGATGTAAAGGGCTCCTTCAGAGGAGGTGGGGGGACCACGCCTGCCTCGTGTCGTTGCTGCTCCTCCTCCTTGCGAATGGATTCATCCAGCATCTTCATGATGTTGGCCAGCCCATCAGGTAGGATCTTGAATTCAGCTGGCTCCTCAAACTGGTCCTCCAGTGGGGTAGGGGGGAAATCAAAGAGTCGAGGGCCTCGGGCAGGCAGCTCCCCAACCCTGGGCGGCACAGGCTGGGGGGCTTTATTCAGGGGGCCTGGGGATGGCCCCGGCCCCCCCTCGGGGGTCTTTGGGAAGGAGACCCTGGGCCGAGGGCTCTCCGGGTGCCTGAAGCTTCCTGAGGTATTCTGGTGGCAAGAGGAGGGAGGGGCTGGAGGCAGGGCAAGAGTCAGGGGTGCAAGAGGTGGGTCCTGGGGGCTCAGTGTTGGGCTGGGGGGGCGGGGAAGGGGGTCCATACTTCTGGCCAAATAGGAAGGTGTAGGGAAGGACACAGGCCCAGTAGGGCTGCTGCTGTGGCTGCCACTGTTGCTGCTGCTGGTGGTTGGGGGAGCGGGAGGGGTGTGCGAATCCTGAGTGCCCACAGAAAAGCGGGGGGCCGGAGGTCCCAAGAAGCCCTCGCGGTGGGGGAGGGGTGGCGGGGGAGGGCGGGGGCGTCCCTCAGCCCCGAAGAAGAGCTCGTCTAAGATCTCTCCATCCTCACGGGCTGCTCGGCAGGCTGGGCCCTTCAGCCAGGCAGGGGGGGGTGGAGGGCGTAAGAGGCGGGGACAAGGGGGAGGAGGAGGTGAGGAGGGGCCAGGTGGCAGGGACAGGTGGGGAGTGGCAGCGGGAGCCGCCAGGAATGGTTTCCGACTACTGTGTGCTGAGGGCCCAAGGCGGCCTTGGTGAGAGGAGACCTCCAGCGCGGGAGTTTGGTAATGGTCAGCACCGGGCTGCAAGTGTAGGACGGCGGTGGTCAGAGGGCTGCTCCAGCCACCCTAGACCAGCTCCACTCGTCCCCCCCACCGCTCCGCCCGCCACCTGCAGTTGTCACTCACAATGCCTGGGCTCGGCTCCACGCCCCGGAGACCAGGGCTGCTGCTGCTGCTACTGCTGCTGGTGGTGGTGCCGGGGGGGCCAGGGGGCCGGGAAGGGGCGTAAGGCACGCAGGCGGTGGTTGCTGCTGGTGAAACGCTGGAGTCCATCCGCGACCTCTGAACTCTGCTCTCTCTAAGGTCACTTCCGGGGGGACGGGTGGCAGGTGGGCAGCCATGGCTCTCTGCTCCTGGGGGGCGGGGGCCTGGGGGTGCAGCCGGGACCAGCCGGTGGCCGGGGGGATGCACAGGGTAGGCCGGAGCTGGGTATGGATATGGGTGAGGCAGCGAGTGCCGCTGCTCCTGTGGGCGAGAAATGAGGACACTGCGTGAGGAACGAAGGACACAGGGGCTGGAGGTAAGAGGTGAGGGGGCCACAGAGAGGTGCTCACCTGGCGCTCTGGGGGTGCTGAACCCTTGCGCTCGGGGCCCCATGCATCTCCATGCGGGGTACTCCACAGCCCTGGCTTGGTCAGCTGGAATGGAGGGCTGGTGGCTAGGCCAGGCGGGGGTGGGGCTGGGGGTAATGGTGGCGGAGGCAGCGGCAGCCCTGGGGGAAGGCCAGTCTGGAAGAAAACAGAGTGTGAGAGTCCCACTCCTCGCCCCAGCCCACTCGCTGCTGGCCCACCCACATACAATCATACCTGCTCAGAGTTGCAGCCTCTCCTGCGTTTGCCTCCAGGGCTGAGGCCCTCCTCCCCCGAGGGGCCTGAGAGTGCTGCAGGAGGCATAGGCTGCACCACCGGGGGTTCGGCGGCTCGCTTCACCGGGGGACCCCCCCGCTTGGCCCCATAGTTCCGTTTGTGCTGAGGACGGAAACAGGAGAGAGAATGGTACCGGTGCAGACCTGGCCCGGCCCTCCTCCCTAGCCCGCCCAGTCCCAGCCTCACCTCAAGGTGCAACAAGTTCCACACTTGCTCCAGGGGAGGCAGGACCTTGGGTCGGTGCTGGCAGGAGCCGGCATGAAAGTTCCAGAGCTGGGCCTGAGGAGGTGGGGGAAGAGTGCAGAGCACAGGGCAGAGGCAGACGTAAGACGAGGGCACTGAGTCAGAACGCACAATCCTAGCCCCCTGTGTCCTGCCTCATCCCACCTGCTGTAGTCGGCCGACGTGGGGCCCCAGCTCAGCCAAGCTTCCTCCGTATCGAAGGGCGCTGTGGTAGCAGCGTACAGCCTCCTCACTGTCGTGCTCTGACTCGTACAGCTGCCCAAGCTGCTCCCACAGCCCCGGCTGGGCCGGCTCCCGGAGCAATGCCTGCACACAGCCATGCAGGGATTCCAGCTTCCCATGGAGGGGTCTTGGGGTGGGTGTCCTACAGAGCAGAAGGGGTGGGGAGGTGGCAAGGCTTGGCGAACCCTTTTAAGGCCCCGGCCTTACCTCCCATCCCCAGCACCTTTCAATCCTCACTCACCCTGGAGCATAATACGGTTTGTTGGGGTGGCCAGAGCTACTGCCGTGTGAAGGAGGTAGGGGAGCAGGGAGTGGGGGCTGCCCGATGCTGGCAGAGCACCTGGAGAGAGAAGGGCTCTGTTAATGTACAGCAAGCTGGAAGTCTTGTCCCTACCTAGGAAGGAGGGGACTGAGGAAACAAGAGAAAGCAGCTGAGGACTGCACTGAGGCTCATGGGATGGCAGAAATGAGAGTGACACAGAGACTGAGGAGCAGAGATTGGAAGAGGAGTGCCTGGAGGCAGAGAGACAGACCAAGTTCTCACCTGCCTCCAGGCAGCCATGCGCTCCGAGGAGGGGGATGGGGCGGGCAGGAGCTCCAGGCCCCAGCACAGCTCAAGCCCCCAAGGGCAAAGGCTTCCCGTGCAGCGCGGGCCCCTGCAGGGTCCACTGCCCGATGCATCCAGCCTGTGTCAAGGAGAAGAGATTATGATCCTACTGGGAACAGAGACTGAGCTGTCAGGGTACACACAGCCGACGCGGCCCCAGTCTTCCCTTACCAGGTCAGCAGTGGCCCCAGAGATCGGGCACGGCCCCCTGCCCCAGCTCCTTGGGGCGATGGTCCGGCTCCAGCCGCTCTGACAGGAGTGCCCACTGCCCCCAGATGGTCGCCCAGGGCCTTTCACAGCCAATTCTACGGAGAGGAGGGGGAAAGGAGTAGGGTGAGCGGGCCAGCGCACAGTCGGGGCCGCAGGCTAGGCTGGGCTGGGCTGGGCTGGGTTGGCCTGGCTGTGGCGCCCACAGGTCTGTGATCTGCGCAAGGCTGACTATCCCTGAGGAGCGGCCCACCCGGCCTAAGGAGCCTCAGGGGAGTGGGGGCAGCGGGAGGGCCAGTAGGTGCGATGGGGTGGCTGCGCTGCTAGGCTTCCAGCAGGGAGCCCCGCGGGCCGAGCTGCAGCGCTGCGGCCGCTTACCCGGCCTCCGTGGGAGCTTTCTCTCCCGGCGTCGGCGAGCTCCGGAGACCTGACCAATCACAGGACTTCCTCTCTCCCCAGAAAGCCAATCATCACCCGTGTCTCCGCCTCAGTAACAGCCTGGCCGGGACCAATAGGAGCGAGGTTAGCCCGGCCGCTGCCGGGGGAGGAGGGGCGGCGGAGCCGGTCAGACAGGCTCTGCCCGGGGTGACCCCGACGTGACCCCGCGGCTCCCACCTAGGGTCTCCATCTCCAAGCTGACACTAGGCCGGTCGAGGCAAGCGGAGCCTGAAACCCGTGCGGGTGAAGGCGGCGGGTCGCACGTTCGGGCCGGCCTGGGGCATGGAGCTACCCGCAAGTCCCACGCGCCCACAGAGCCGCCGGTAGTCCGCGTTAGACCGCCCGAAACGCCCCCTACCCCGCCGCCTAACACCGACGGACAGCAGACGGATGCACAACGCCGACACAGGCGGCGCTCCCCCTCCTCACTTCACCTCGCCCAGTGCCTGACCTCCCCACCCCCTAGGAACTGTTTAAGGCTGGCCACTCACGGCGACTTCTAAGGCACCCAAACCTGCCCGCGCCGCGATCAGAGCGCTCCACCCACCACGCCTGACCCCCATCCCAAACCATGGTCAAGCCCCCAGCTTCATACCCAGTTCCTTCAGCTCCTCCACTTCCCCTGGCTCTGTAGGCCTTCAATACCAACCGACCCCCAAAACCAAAACCGTCCTCTAATCCCCCAACTTCTGAGAAGTCGCGCACAGCGGTCCCGAGTGGCCCCTCTCGCGTGGCTCCCGTATCCTCTGTGCCCTTCCCCGCCGGGGCCACGCGGCTCCCCACGGCCCACGTGGCCCCCGCCCCCCAAGGGAGGGGGGATTTCGGGGGTTGCCCGTGACGTGGCTACTTGCGCAGCGGAAGCGGCGTGTGTAAGAGTACGGGGGGGGGTCCTTCGGGAGGGAGGAAGGAGGGAGGAAGGAGGAGGGCGGGGCCCGCCCGGCGGTGACATCACCCTTGTCCCACTCTCACCGCCCACTCCCTTAAAGAACCCAGAACCCGTTTCACTTCCTCCTTCACCCCCCCCCAACCCCTTCCCGTCGGTGCTGGCTCGACCTACGACGGGAGCAGCGCTCCCCTTCCTGGGCACCTTCCCTTTAGCCCCAGTTCTTCCTTCTCGCCTCTCTGAGCCCAGGATCTCGGTCCCCGCGCGTCCTGCTCGCCTACCCCGCGTCCCCGCAGGTAGGAAGCCGGCTCCGCTCCCGGGATCGGTCCATTGAGAGTCTAGAGTACAAAGAGCTGCGAGAGGCGAGTGTAGAGTACAAAGCGGCGGGGGCGGGGCCAGCGCTCCAGCTGGAGCTAGCGCCGGGCAGGAAGCCGGGGGAGAACGCGCGACGAGGGGCTGGGGGCGGCTGGAAAGTTCGCCTTCGCCGAGAGAAGTCTGAGCTGTGGGGAAATTTCCACCCAGCCCACAAGGGCATTCGGGTTTCTGGTGAAAACAGTCCTCGATCTGAAGGGCAAGGTCGTCTGTTTGCACGCAAGCGCTTGGACCCTACAGGTCCCGGCGTGCCACTCCCCGGCGAGCCCTAGTAGGCGCTTGGGCTCTGCGGACCCTCTCCGCGGTTCACGCGGAGTTTCGGTCAGAACTCTCTCTCCTCACCATACAGCCTTTATGTCAGTTACCAAGCCCTGGGCCAAGTACAGCGCTTAACTGCGGTCAAGCATAGCCCTGGCCAGCTGCCCCCACCTAAGTCCCGGGACCCATGGACCAGACATGCGAAAACGGGGAACCCGGGGTCCAGACATCAGAGGAACAGATCCCCGATTGGGAAGTGGTGCCGAGGGCGCTGCCAGTTGCCAGGAAATGCAGCTTCCCCTTCTGCGATGATGACACTTCCCCTCTACCACTTCCCCTTTCCCACGGGGAACTGACTCAGCTTTCCCTAAAACAGCGAGTCCCGTCGGCCAGCCCCTTTCCACCTCTATCCACAAACCCCTACGCCGGTACTCGGAATACAGCAGCCCTCACTTGAGAACAAAAACTTCCTGTACACTAAACACACACACTCTCGCCAACCACCTCGGATCCTTGTCCCCACCAGGGACCCAGGCGCCTGACTTCCCATCCGCCTCCTGTACAAAGCCCTCCCTCGGGGTCTGATTCAGGCTTGGGGTGGGGGAGCGTGAGTCACCCAGAAAACCTTCCCCTATTCCCACTGACTCAGCCCCCGCCTCCCTGAACACACACAGACACACACAGTCAGAGGCAGACACAACTCAGCCCACACACCGCTCCCCACCGGTCCCGCGGAATTTCCCCTCTCGTCTTCCCCCATGACGGCCCCTCCCCACGCCGGGCAGCCCCGACGCCGCGGTCACACCTGTTCCCCAGGCGCCAGCAGCCGGCTCGCGGTCCACTCTCACCTCCACTCTCGCTTTGGGGCAGGAATAGCCCTCCCCGACTCTTGGCGTCCGTACTAACCCAGGGGAGGGGACAATCACCGGCAGGCACAAAGACAGACACCCAGAGACTCCTCAAAGACAGATGAGAGGTAGACGCACACGGCCAAAGAGGACGGTATACTTCTGGGGCAGGCATTCCAGCCTCTCCAGTCGGACCCACAGTACTGGGAGTCAGCCGCTCAGAAAGGGTTAATTCTGCTCCTGCCGAGGCCACGCCCTCTCCATCCGGGCACTCCCGGCTAAGCCCAGCTCCGCCCCCTCCATCCGGGCTCTGGACTCGGGGACTTTAACCGGCCCCCTCCCCTAGCGCCCCGAGAGGGACCCACTCTATCAAACACACCCACTTAACTCTCTCTGGGCTCCAGGCCGCAGGAGCCCCTCCGCACACCGCTCCCGCCGCGCGGGATGAGGGTCCAGACGTGAGCACGCAGATTCACGTGCCGGCCAAAGACAAGACCCCGCAATTAGGGTATTACCGAGCAGGGAGTTAGCAGGCACGCGGCACGCGCGAGGAGGTGGGGCCGGCCCGGAACCCTGCCGCGTCCCGCTCCCTGTCAGGCTCCGTTCTGCCTGGTGGAAGCGAGGGGTTACAGCTCGCTTCTTACCTGGGGGAGGGGGAGGCGTAGGGGAGGGCCGCCGGCTGGGGCTCCGCTCTGACTCAGCCACCCCGGGCAGGCCGCCCGCTCGGGATTCCCTTCCCCAGCCTTCCCTCGCTGCTGGCCCCTCCCCGCCCCCCACCGAGAAGTGACAGTGCCGGCCCTGGCCCGCTATGTGTCACTGCGAGCCTTGTGTCTGCCTCTGACTGGACCGCTGTGTTCACCAGTCTCTCTGACAAGGTCGGCTGTGTATGAGTCCCGGTGTCTGTCTCCGTGTGCACCTGCATATCTGCTCATCTTGTCTCCATCAGTGCCTGTGTCTGATGCGTTCCTGTCATTATGCCTGTCTACACGACTCCGAGGGGCTGTCTCTGTCTGTGTGTCTGCCTGGCTCCTGTCTCGGTCTTTTGTCTGGGACTGCCTCTGCATCACTTGCCGTGATCACGTGTGTCTCTCTGCACATGCCCTTCTGTGTTTGCCTTCATGTTCCTGAACAGAGTCAGGGAAACACTGGAGCAGGCTGACCCGGCAGACTCCTCGCCCCACTCCCCTGAATCCTGATGTCTTACTGGATCAGTGATCCTTCTGTTTGAGTCAAGCATTTGGAGGTCTGGGTGCCTTCATTTAAGTTCTGTCCTATTCCTCAACATCCTCACTTATCCTCACAGCTCCCTGTGGCTCCCATTGTGATGGTAATTGCTAGCATTTAGTGAATACTTATAACATGCCAGGTACTGTGTTAAGCACTTTATATACATTTTAAAAAACTCCTCTCCAGAACCTGACCTAGTACTACCCCATTTTACAGATGAGGTAATTGAGGCTCAGAGAGGTTATATAACTCTGTCAAGGTCATTCCACAAGAAAGAGTAAGAGCTAGGCTTCTTTCCAGAGCCTTATTCTTACCACTCTTCTATAATGCCTCTGTACTATTCTCTGTTGGTTTTATCCTCACAGGACATTTCCTAGGTCAGCCTGCCCCTCAGCTCTCCCCCACAGTACCATCCCAAATGTCTTATGTCTCTAGAGAAGGTGTAGGTAGGAGGCTGTGCAGCATTTCTCAGAAGCCATTGGTTTCTTGGCCCTGAAGCTCATTCAGTTAACACATTCATTCAACGCAATTCCACTGAGGCACCCCAATGTGCAAACCATCTCGCCAAATAGTGAGAGATACATAGAAGAAAACAATCCCACTCAAAACTTAGTGAGAAGTGGAGAAGAGCAACACACACTCAGAGAACTTAAGTCTCTGGCTTAGGTACCCTCTTTTCTCCTACAGAAGAATGGGGGATGGGATGGAGCAGGGCCTTAGGCAGAGAAGTGGCAGAAAGAGAGAGGGAAGCACAAGAGGAGTAAGATTTAGGATGTATGCGGCAAATGCTGTGGTGCAGTAGGGAGAGAAAGGAACCGAAGGGATCTGGAAGGAAGGGTGGGAATGCCAAGACTGCCATGGCAACGGCAGGTTTCTGTGACAATGGCCTCCAGTATCTCTCCAAATCAGTTCCCGATCACCCTCCATAAGCCAGGCTGTTCAACAACTATTATAGGGGCAAAGCCCTCCTCATTCCAAAAAATTAAAAATAAATAAATCCCTCCAGGTATCTTATCTCTACTTTCGGGCCTACAAACCCCAGGTTAATTCAATTTAGTAAGTAACTGAGTTGTAGCACTGGTGGGGAGGGGGAAGGGGGGGTGATTTTTTGGAGGTAGTTGAGAGGCTGGTGAAGTACAGGGATGAACCATTCATAGGCAACAGAGGGGAGCTCCATAAATGAGGAAGACTGAACCACTCAACCACCTCATGGTGGGGGGGATGCTCAGAGTTGGACTGGACCATTCTGAGGAGTGGGCATGATCTAGATCACATCAATCCTTCTTGCATATGGCGCAGAGCTGGACTGTTGCGGGGAGGCGCTGCATTGCTCAGGGGCAGGACTTACCAGATGGGAGTTTGGTGTGCCCTGTCTCATTGGAACCAGCGCCCCAGCAGTAGGGTGCAGCAGACCACAGTGGGTGGGGTGGGTGGTACTATGGGGCTGGCATGGTGCCTGGGGGAACCTAAAAGAAAAAAGCCAGTTAGAGGTGGGATCTCCCAAGCTGGAGAATTTTCCTATGCCCCCTGTCCCCTTATTGAGGAGAAACCTGGCTCTGGTGGTCAGATGGGATGAGAGAATCTGTTTCCATGGCAACCAGAAAAAGCCAACCCAAGAGTGGTCCTCCAGCCTTCCCCTTTCGGAAGCAGCCTGGACCAGGGAGTGAGGGGAGCATGCTACAGCATCTGGTTAAGTCCACAGTGGACGCCCAACCCATGATCCCTCTTCTGACTGGACCCTCCTGCTGAGAGTCCTTGGCCCCAGGGTAGCCCTAACTGCCTCTGACATCTGCACCCAGGTCAGCTTCAGTCCTGGCCTCAGGCTCACAGAAACTCTTCCTTCAGTTCTGCCTCCTCCCTAACCTTATCAAGACACCAGACAACCCCACCTTCTGGACTCTGCCCCCTCTCCTTCCCTCAGGCTGGTGCAGGCAGGTCTTGGTGAGCAGCACAGGTGGCCAGACTAGATGACCGGGCCCAGCAGGGAGGAGCCTTCCTCCTCAGCAAGGACTGTGACTCTGGGCCTGGGTCTGGAAGTGGCCTCTGCGGCAAGCCTCCCTTCCATCTACCCATCAAGGCCATATCCTGTTTCTCCATCACCTCCTTCCTCTGTGTGGCCCAATTAGGTGATAGAGGCCCACTCCCTCCCCTCCTAACTTTCAGAGACAAGAAGTTAGGTGTCTAGGTCCAGGGCCAAGAATCTGGTGTCCATCCAGGGGTCAGACCTAAGTCTGCCTCACCTCAAACTCACTCCTCAGAGACCTATGTTTTCTGCCCTCTTAGCCATAGTTCTCTGCCCTTAAGCACCCAGACACTTGGGCTCCCAGTCCAGCCTCTCCATTCCCTGTCCTTCCAGCCCCCATCCTTCCCCCTGCCCCAGAGGCTCAGGCCCCCAGCCCCCAGCCTCCGTGATGCAACGTGCTGCAAGCTGCCTTAACTGCTGCTGACACTGCCCCCAGGGGAGGTGCTATTTCTGACCCATGCAAGGCCCCTCACCTGGCCAGGGTAGTGGTCAGCTGCAGGCTAGGGAGGCCAGGCAGGCAAGGTCCTTCTGCTGGAGAAGGGAGCTTGAGGCTGGAACCCTCCAGGACAGGGACACTCAGAATGTGAGACCAGAGAGTGAGTGAGTAAGAGAGAGAGAAACAGAGAGGGAGAGAAACAGAGAGAGAGAAACAGAGAGAGAGAGAGAGAGAGAGAGAGAGAGAGAGAGAGAGAGAGAGAGAGAGAGAGAGAGAAAGAGAGAGAGAGAGAAACAGAGAGAGAGAGAGAGAGAGAGAGGGTGAGTGTGTGTGTGTGTGTTAGTCTGTAGCATTTGTATTTGTGGTTGTGTTGAGGAAGAAGGGGATGCTGGGGAGGGGCCTTAGGACAGACCAAGAGGAGAAGTGAGGGGCAGCCAAGGGGGTCAGCCAAGGGGGTCAGCGGGGTGTGTATGGGGTGTCTGGACACCAGAGTGGGGGAGGGGCCAACAGCCATTTAAAGGGCCAGCCCCAGAGCTTTAATCCCTCACCAGCCCTGGCCCCAAGCCGGAGGCTGTAATTCATCTGTCCAACAGCTGGGGTGGGTGTGTGTGTTGGGGGGGGGGGGGGTGGACGGGAAGGGGGAGCTGGGGGAGGGGCTGGGGCTTTCTTGTGCACAGAGCCAAACAACAAAAGGGGAAGCTGAAGGGCCAGCTCCAGTGTGCCCAGGACAGGCTGCTGACGTGCAGACCTGCCGGTGGCCCCCACCTGGTGGCCGACAGACTCCGTAGTTTAGACTCAAGGATTCTTGGCCAAGGAGTCCATGAACCCAAAGGTGGGGCCCTGGAGAAGGCCCAGGTTGAGTGCCCCCCAGGCAAGCTGTCACCCCTCCGTGCAGGTCCCATCCGCAGCACTGTCCCAGACCTGGCAGGCCCCGAAACAGATTCAGCCTCAAATGCCCTGCTCGCCAGCCAAGCCTCCCCAGACAAGGCCTGCCGGCTCCCCCCTCCCGCTGGCGCAGGGTGGCAGCGGCCACACCGAGGATGTCCCTTTAAATCATTACCACCCCTGATTGTGTGGACGAACAGAGGGCCCTGCCCCCCAGGCAGAGGCTTGCCACCTACCCCCACGAGTCCCCAGAAATGTGAGGGCCATTTAAAGGGACAACAGAGAGGCAGCCGGGTCTCTAACCGTCCCCGCCCCCACCCCAAACACACTCACAGACCCTTTCGCCCGCGACACATAGCCCCTTGCCCCTCCAGAGGGCCCCCCAAATTCCGGTTCTCTCCCCACCCCTAGAGACTGCTAGAAGGAGAAAGGGGCCAGAGCTGGGGGGCGGGGAACTGGGGAAACGAGAAAAGGACAGGGACTCCCTCCTTCCTCAGAGCCCCAGGGGACAGGTCGGAAGGAAAGCAAAGCCTGGAGAAGCAGCGAGACAGAGCCCCGAAAGGTGCCGCGGGCAGACCTGGGGCGCACAGGCTGTCGGTCGAGGGGAAGGGAGTTGGGCTGCACGAGACAGCGGCGCGGCCAGCGGGCGACTAGCCCAAGTGCGGAGATGGAACAAGGAGGGCTGGGGGCAAAGAGGCAAGGCCGGGGGAAACGGGGAGACGGAACCGGGGAAAGGGGTCATCTGGGAGGGTGTGGAGGAAAACCCGAGAGGGGAGGGCGAGCCAGGCCGGGGTTACCTGCTGGGTGTCTGTCCCCCGGCGGTGCCCCCGGAGTCCGGGTAGGGAGGGGGGGGGGCAGCGGGGGGGGGGGGGGGGGGGGGGGGGGGGGGGGGGAGACGGTCCCTCCTCTGCCTCCTGGGCCTGCCCCGGCGCTTGCAGCCTCTGCCTCCCTCCCTCCTCCTCCCCGTCCCTGAGTCCCGGAGTCAAACAAAGAACTGTCCCAGGCCCCCCCCACCTCCTCCTCCTCCTCCTCCTCCTCCTCCTCCTCCTCCTCCTCCTCCTCCACCTCCTCCTCCTCCTCCTCTTCCACCTCCTCCTCCTCCTCCTCTTCCTCCTCCTCCTCCCCTCCCTCCCTCCCCACCAGCAGGCTCCCTCCTCTCCCCTCCGGTCTCTTCCTTTAACTACCCGCCCCCCCCCCCCCCCCGCACTAGTCTCTCTACCCACCCACCCGAACCTTTTACACACCCCTCAGCCAGCCCTGTCCCCGCAAAGGAAACTGTGGAGTCCCTCTGTAAAACTGAAAGGCTCCAAAGAGCATGGGAGGGGACTGGGGTCTTGCTCAAAAATCAAGAACCACAATACAATTATTTTATTTTCACAGCCAGAGGAACAGTCTTAGCTGTTTCTTCTGCAAGAAGGGGGAAAAAATAATCGCAAAGAAAGCAATACAAATCTGACTAAAGCCCTCATCAAATAAAGTGCACAATGCAGTGGAAGCTAATCCCCAGCCCCCTCCCCCCCTCCCCCCGCCCCCCCCACCCCCGCCCTACCAAATTAGCACAGACTCTCCACTCCTCCCTGGAGAACTCCTAAGGTCTTGGCCAGTTTGAAGCAGGCCTACCAACCATAATAATAAAAATAATAACAGCATTTAACAATAATAAGCATTTTATAACAAGCATTCATTCAGTGTTCATTCTGTGCCAGGCACTGTGCTAAGTGCTTTGCATAAATTATCTCATTTTTTTCCCTATCAACTGCCTAGAAGGTAGGTATTAATATTTCAATTTTCCAGATTAAGAATATGAGGCACAGGGAGGTTGTGACCTTTCCAAGTCTCTACAGCCACTAAGTGGCAGAGCTGGGAATGGAATCCAGGTCTGATCTGACAGCCCAAGCCCTAAGGTACACAAAAAGAGAAACCAATTTTTTGCAATACGATAACCAATCCCATGACTTAATAAAGAAGGGCAGCCATAGCTATCAACTGAGTCCCCTTCCTTCAAGAGACAGAAATCCACGCACCTACACAGAATAAAGGCCCTGACTTTTCAGGCTAATACAGTTTCTTGACCCTTTTCCTCACTGTTGGGGCTGGGGGTGGGGTGCCATTAATTAAGGTCAGGGCTGAGCTGGTATCCAGCAGTATACCACACAGCAGTATACCACAGTATGCCTCCTGGGAGGTAGCTATCTGGCAACCACTCCTACTTCAACTCAATATGGGGGCGGGGGCAATGAGACACTTGGTAATGCAGCAGGTGGGAAAGTAAAAAGACTGCTGGGAGGCTCTTTCCAGGAGGGACGGGGGTCTTGCAGGAAAAGCTCTTCTGTGCCAGTCTAGGGAAAAGTGACCCAGGCTTCGCTTCGCCCAGCGAAGGGGCAAAGTCCACCACACCACACCCGTGCCCCTCCCCCTCACAAGACTCCAGGCCAGGGTTTCCCACCTGCAGGACGCTAAGGCCAAGGGAAGGGAGAGGGAAAAAAGATGGCACGGGGTTGCAACTGGACTCGGGGCGGGGGGTGTGGTAGGGGGAGGGGGCCGGAATGGAAAGGGCACGTGCATGGTGACATCATCCCAGGCCACCTTTAACACAGACCTTTGACCCCGAGGGGCGGAGAGGAGCCTCAGGCTAAGCTTCCTGGGAAATAGCCTTAAGAATTCTGGGAACCCAAAAAGGAGAGGAAGGAAGGAACCCAGGCGTCCCGCCCTTATCTTCTGCCCCCAACGCGGCTCCCATCCCTTGGACTCGGGCCTCTCGGCTCCTCCTCTCCGCCTCCAGCCCTGACCTCCCAACCCACATTTCTGACGGAGTCCCGACACGCCTCTCAGAGATACTGTGCCTTCTCTCTCCTGGGCGAGATCTCGGGTGGGGCGCGGGAGGTGGGGGGCGGGGGCACCAGGTCCCGCGGGGCTCCGTCTCCCATCAGCGGGATCCCCCGTGCCCCAGCCGGCCGCCAGCCGGAATCTGTCTGGGTCCCAACTCTCCTGCCCCTCCCCGCGCTGTTCCAGGGCGGAGTCTGTGGAGTTGAAATCAGGACACGGCAAGAGGAAGAGTTATATAACTGGGAGAAGACGAGAAGGACGAGTGAAGACCAGGAGAGGCAGCCCGAAAGGAGCCGAGGGAGGTGCAAAGAGCACCAGGGCGAGGGGGGGAAGAAACGTTAGGGATGAGAAGGGTTTTGGTGCACATCAAAGGGGAGGAATTCACGCGAAGACGGGTTGTGATGGTCCGGGAAAAGTCACCTGGCCCGTCCGGGGCTTCCCCGCAGCGCCCTCCCCAGCCACCAACAGCAGCTGAGCCCGAGCGAGTGAAGCCTCGGGAAGGGGTGCTGATACCCGTTCCGTTCGTCTTGGAGAGGAAACCTTAGCCAGAGCCCGGGAAGGCAGCGGCGGAGCATATGGGGCCGGAAACCACAGCTCCGCCCAGCCCACCTGGGAGAGTGGGGCGCCAGCTGGGGGTTGGTGGGGAACAGGTAGCTGGCTCCTCCCACGCCAGGCTGGGCAGTAACGGCTTGAGACCCAGAGAAAGGCTAGCGGACCCATACGTCTGGTTCCCCCCGGGGCTGAGGAGTGAGTGCAGCCCAGTACTAATTTGCGAACAGAGTCTCTAGATGGGGGTAACTGGGGGAAGCGGCAAGCGCTGACTCGCCGCGCAGGCGCGGGGGGGGGGGCGGTTACTCGGGCTCGTGCGGCGCGGGGAGGGGGAGTGGGCGCGAGCGTGTGGGAGTGCACGTGCGGGTCCCGGGCAGCTACCCCCTCCCAGCCTCCACCTCTTCCCCTCCCCTTTCCCTCTTCCTGTCGCTCTACGATGCCTTCTCCACATTGGCTGCCAAGGCCCTGATGTCAGAGGCAGCCGCTGGAGCGGATTGGGCGGACGCGAGAGTTAGGGAATCCAGCTCCTGAGTCTAGCTCTCCAGTTACTCTGGCAACAGGG